TCGCCTACCACTAACACTACGATTTTGCTTTGAAAATCGTTTTTATAAAATGCTCTTTAATTCTATCTTCCGAAACGTTAACGTTACTTTACTTTGCATCCCGAATACACCCACAATCATGTATGCTGCATATCTCCTGAAAAGTGAAGTTTTCATTCGGGGGGGGAAGGGTGAGAGACTCGGCCCCCTCTTCTGAATTTTCTGGATCCGCCCCTGAAAACAGCTAACATCGAGTACTGGATCAAAATGAAGCCGTGACAATTTTAATGGCAAGCCTTTCCGGGCGCGGAGTAAATAATAGAATAAATGGTAAAAATTAAGGTAAATGATATAATTCCGGGTCAACTCATTGAAACCAATGACAAAATAAATACAACTATTCATTTTAACTTGCTTTCATTCACATAACTTAATTCAAGCTCACCACAAAACCTCGGGCACATGGCGTACATCCTGTTTGCTGGCTATTCGTGACGTCATTGGGTTTACACGGATCACATTTCCAACAGCAAGGCTCGATGGTAATTTTTCTTTCTCCTCTTTTACAGGGACGACTGCAGAATGTACGGGGCAGTATGTTGGTGTGCTGAAATAGCTTCATCCTAGCAGGACCTGAACCATTTCTCTCAAGACCCCAGTGACCTAACGTTACGAGCCTCCACGTTTTTCCAGAGGCATCTTTCTGTGGTCTTAACAAGTCATATTCTGCTGAAATATCTCCATTTTCGTCAAATTCAATTTGCCTTCCGGTTAGAGTCTCAAACTTTACATCAAGAATAGTGTCAAGCAAAGCTTTTCGCTGTTGTGATTGTTCTTGCAAGCACGATATAGTATTTGAAGAATTTTTGCAAGAGAGTTTGAAGATTTTGTCCAGTGCGTTAACAAAAGTGTACACGGAGTTAATCACGCTTTGAATGTACATATCTGCAGAAAATATTTCTCGTTTAATAAAGGTATCAAGGGGATTTTCTGAACGATATTTTGACCTGTTCCTTTGCTGCTTCATTTCTGAAATCCATGGATTGCGACTTCCGTTATTTTCGTCTCTCCATTTTTCAAAATGTGTCGCCTTTTCATTCTGAGGAGAGCATAACACCATATAATTCGCCATGTCTTCGTTTCCATTTAAATAAACCGACATTTCAGCCGAATCACCTCCGACAAGCCATCGAAAGACGCTCTGTTTTCCGAGCTCTTTTACTGCATTAAAAAGTAAACTTATATCACTTTTGGAACAAAAGAGGACGATAACTTTGGCATTCGTTTTTTGACTTATATCCTTCACTACTTCATCAAAAGTTAAAACTGCATCACCTTGTGGAAGTGCCTTTATTGTACCAATGCAGATGCCGCGATTGTTTGCCTGTTGTGTGAAGTATTTACTTCCTTCTCTGCCAAATTCATCGTCCGAATAAACGACAGACACATATTTTGTGCCGTTTAAAAGTAAAAGATCAACGAGGGCCCTTGCGCGCACCTCGTCAGACGGTACTGTTCGTACAAAATACTTGAAACGGTTTTTGTCGCTGAGGAGAGGACTGGTAGCGCCGTAGCTTATGTGCGGCACCTGAAAAAGTCCGAGGAGATTGGAAACCTGAAGAGCAACACTGCTTGAGTATGGTCCCACAACTCCGACGATTGGCGGTGGTTTTGAGGTCGAGCATGAAGGGAGAAAATAAGACGCTTTTTCTAATGCTATGACGTCTTTTGAACAATAATCGAGGATTTTAAATCCAAGAATTATTCCTGGAAGAATGTTTGAATTCTTGTTTACTTGATCGATGGCGTAAATCATGGCCTCGGTGAAATAAACTACATCCCGTGATCGCAAATCACCGCATTTGTCTTGACAAGAACTCGGGCAATACGAATGAACAGGAAACAAACCACCAAGGATGAGATCTCCTGCTTGGAAAGCTTCGCTTTGGCTTGATTGCTGACTACAGGTCGATGACAGTACTAAATGCAGAGCCAAGGCGATCCGGAAAGAGTTGGCTTGGTAAATCATGGCTGATCAACAGTAACTCTGACAGATTGTTTTTCCCAAGCTCATGCCTAAGATGGAAGGTTTTATCGTCTGGGCTTTAACAGTAGCCGTCTATTGCTTCTAAGATTTTCGATACTTGCTTTCTCCCCCAAAAAAGCACTACTTGAATTGAATGAAAGAAAAAAATAAACGCCTTTTAAGAATTGTTTATGTTTTTATGACGCCTACATCCGGAAAGAGAAATTGTAGCACGGCTGTGGCATAATTGAGGCGGCTACTTTGATCGCAAATAATGACACTGTTTCGCCAACAATCGCTTTTGACATATCATCAAATTACAAAGGTCTTCTTGGATCTTCTTTAGAAGCTTTAGCAAACTTGGGGGCGTGATTGCAATTGAGAAATTTCTATATTTAGTATTGATTAATTTTGGTGATTTGCAGATACAGTTTTAAATTTTCTCTAATTTGGGGCTGTAATTTGATTTGCAGAAATTAAAATATTTTAAGAAGCGTGTGGTCTTATCTGTAAGTCGTTTTTTTTCCCGAGATGTAAAACAAAATTTCCGAAACACCTGCTTTCAGACGAGTAATTAAAACCAAAATCCCGTGATTAGATACATTGCATTTAGCTGTGAGAGGGCGCACTTGAACTGTTTGCTTTTACTGAACAGGGAAATCTTTATTTACAAACTGCATGATCAGGAAGTAAAGCTATAAAAATAGCTTTGCGTATTTCACATTAATGCTTACAAAATTTTGGAGTTGTCCTTGCAATATTAGATGGCTAAATTTTTATGTACATAGGATATGATGTCGGTCTACGAAAAGTCGGACATGTCATGGTCGTACATGAAGTTATGGGGATTAGAGTCGTTTTCATTAACTTTGTTTAATCTTAAACTTTATTTTCCTTTTTCCGAAGGAGCTGGTTATTATATATTTTTATAGGGATGAAATAAAAAGCCTTCTTAATCTTTTGATCAATCGATACAAACCGGAATCAGGATGAAATTCTTCTTTGAAGCACGCAGATATGCTGTGTATTCAGATTTTTACATCAGCAGATTATTCATTTGTGTTAGTTTTGTCATTTGAGATGTTTACCAGAGATCGCCGCCAATAAAAATTAAATCAGATTTCTGACTGTTCTTAGCTTCTACTTTGAAAAGTGATATAATTATCTCTAAAAATGACGTATTTCATTTCAGAGACTTTGTTCACACTTCCCATACGCTATTCTAAACGTATCCTCCATATATGTTTGGCGCTCGTCGTCATTGCTTTATTGCGAGAAAAGTGCCTTGAAAACTTGATTAAATAAGTGGACAAGAAACGAGTTTGATCGAGAGAGGATGCTGGAAGGATAAGAGAATTTATCGCCCATATAGAGCTTATTCTCAAGGTAATAGCCCTCAAGATTTATTTAGATCACTCCCGGCTTCATTAAAACCGGGATGGTCCCGCAACCAATCCTGTGATGGACATCTCAAGCGGCTTTTTATGCATTTTCATCCTCCAAAAAAACAACTGCGTGGCCGCATTATACACGGAGAACTGGATCCCATATCTAAAAGTAACCTGAGAGGGATTACCTTGAGAATATAGGGCCTATATGAGTGATAAACTTTCTTATCCTACATCCTCTCTTGTTTCGAAGGAATCACGTTCATGGAAACCCCGCAATCAAGCGAATAACACATCATTCGGGTCGACGTCAATACCCCCACTATTAGCTACAATGAGGATATGGAAAATACGCCTCTCTTCGCTATTTTAAGGTTGCCATTGTGTCCACAAAACGCTCTAAAGGCTACAATGCATGGCAAAATGGCCGACACTTTGAGTGCGGAAGGAGTCTGATTACAGTAGAGGGTATATTAAATCATGGATAGCGCCAAAATGTATCAAGGCCTAGCAGACATTTGCGAGCGTTGTGTTGTAGCAAGATGGCTGAGGGTTTTCACCTTTCGAGATTCTTTTTAAAACCGCAATAAACTCCCCAACAAAGACTTCTTCTGTATTTTTCTTTATTTATACACGTTATTTCTTCTCTAAGACAGTATCAAATAAAAAATATCACACGTTTAAACATTTAGTCCTTGAAATACGCTGGGTGATCACACAAGGGTTATGTTTATTACATTTATGAATTGCTTCCTACGGATAAGAGTTGTTTTTCATTCGAGTGCTTCTTAAACGATTGTTCCAAGACAATTGTTATTAAAAAAACTGTTTATCATCTTGCAGTGTGTGTCGTAAGAGTCCAAGCTTTATGTCCTCTTCCTGGATGCATTCCAAGTAGCGGCAATAGTAGACTACGACCAAGTTAATCAGCTTCACTGCGTTTTCGAGTGTTTTGAATGTTGCCTTTTTGTCATTTTACTCTAGAGAGGACAAGAAAGAGACAAATTTTAGATAGATGGTCATAGATACAACGCTGAAATTGAGAAGGACCCTTTCTTGCTTAAAAATGGGGGAAGGGCTCATTAAGTGTGAATGTATAATCATTATTACTAAGCTTTGGTTTTTATCAACACATGTAATAAGAGTATGGTATCAACCTTTTTTACCGGTACAGTCTTTCTGTCTTCCAAAAGATGCTTAGCTGGCGTTGAACCCTCTGCAGTAGCATCTTTGTATTCTTGTGAGGTCTTCTTTAGTTTACGTTTGCTTTCTTCCTTCTGATGTGTCTTGGAGCGCTAGGAAATAAACTTAGATTAGAACAGCTATACAAAATGTCTCAAATGTTGAAATACGCTTGTTTGTTGACAAATCAAGTTAATAGCGAGATTTTTACATGTTCCCTTCCACGACTGGGGTTCTTTCTAGTAATTTAGCTGACTCATTTCATTGATGTAATCTTACTGAACTTCCACGAAAGAGGGATATTTTAATTGAGGTTTTACCGCTTTATAATGGAGCAAGAGACGAAAATGATAAATATGTTAAAAAATAAACTAAATTATAAAAGATGATGATGATGATGATGATGGTGTCCGCCCAACAGAGGTTTAACTTTGCGTTTAAAAGTTATGTATTATGAGAACGCCGTCCAGTAACGTTCGTGATGTTAAGTGTAGGTAGCGGTACTGTCAGTAGAATAAAGTGATGTCGTTACCTGGAAATCACTTGGTCTTGCTATTGTTGACTGTTTAAGGATAAAAGTAAGTCGTCAGTCGGTAATTGCTTTGTCCATTTGTTAATATTTAGTAAAAAACGATTAAGTCTCATGGCCGTAAGCCTGAAAAGCAGAAGGAGTGGAGCTTAATGCATCAGTCTGGGGGCAATTTTATCAGTCTTAAAGCTCACTATTAAAAGAGAACAAACTGCAAAGCTTTGTATCTCTTAACTGGACACAAGAGAATTGCTAATGTTTGAGGGTTCTGTATTTTTAAAATCTTGAGCTTTGCATTAATTGTTAATTGCCTTTGTTACAAACGCTATGGATATGGGTGGAATATTTGATTTTTCTCTCAGGAAACAAGTGATGGGTTAATCGAGCTATTTTATGTGAGAACATCAGGTATGCCTCTTTATTGTGCGGACAACCATCATCGAACGGCGAATACAAACCGTGGAATACAAAATTACCGCAATACCATAAAATCCAACATATACAGCGCAACTTCTGGTCTTTGCCATTATTAGGAAGCTCCATACAATGACCTCTGTGCCTCGCCGTATGTCTTCTTACTTTTGGGGTTAAAAGCTTAAAACCATTAAAAGGAAAACACGTTTTGATACTATTGGATGTTGTAAACCTCCCACTGAGTTTGTTTGTAAGCCAACCCAACCCCTTTTACTAGTTCTATAAGCCAGGGCTTATAGCAGAATTTTAATGTATCATATCTGCATCTTTTCACAGGTCTTTAACCGGACACCAAATTTCAATACAAGAGGCATTAATGATTTTTATACGCTGGGTCCTATTATTATCAATTATCAATGAATTGAAATACTGTGACTATTATAAGAGATGTGCATTTAGAAAAGCTTTAATCAAAAATAACAGCAGCAGTATGCCTTTGAAGCGCGTCGGGTGGCAGGAAGATGTTGCATCTCCATGTGGGCATTTTTAATGCTGATGTATTGTTAGTCACTTACCTTTTTAAATGCCATTTGTTGCTGTCCAAATTCTCCCCCACCGCCCATGGCCGGAAGTCCCGCTAGTCCTCCACCCATCATGCTTTGTAGACCTCCTTGGAGAGCGCCTCCTTGAAGACTGTTACTTTGAAGACTACCGTCCATCATTCCTTGCCCTTGTAGAGCATTAACACCACCACCATCGGATAACATCCCTCCTTGAACTTGCTGTCCTCCTGTAAAAGCAGATGTCATGCTCTGCATTCCTTCCATTCCTTGAACGCTCTGAACACCTTGCATTCCTTGCAAAGAACCACCGCCTCCAAGGGAACCTTCACTCATGCGGCTTACCGCAGATTCACTCAATCTTCCACCTCCTCCCATCGCCCCTTGTCCCATCGCCTCCTGTCCCATCGCACCTGCATCCATGGCCCCTCCAAATCCCGTTCTCTCTGATCCTCCCATGGGAGCTTGTTCCACTGGTGCTGCCTGACCTTGTCCACCTAGTTGTTGCGCTCCTTCAAGGCCTCCAAAGCCTCCCATGCCACCATTTAAAGATTGAGTTCCACGTGCTCCCAAACTACCGAGTTCCATGTTGCTTTGTTGTGAAGATCCTCTCATTTCATTTGGCAACATTTTGTCTGCTTGGTGAATAAGGATTGAAATCTCTGCAAGGCAATGTTTGAGTAAACAAAAAAAATGATAGAAAGGGCCACTTAACAATGAATTTGAACAATTTATCAAAAGTGCCAGGGCTTCTTCGTATTCGATTTACTTCTTTTACTTCTGTTACTGCACCACAATTAAACGAGAATTATTCAAAGCTGTAGGACGCCAAAAGGAGGGGCAAATGATTTGAAATCACCTCTCACATTTTCTTGTTGGTTAGAAAGTAGAGAACCACCTAATAAAAAGGTAAACCAAATTTGTTATGAATTTTATGAAAGGTCTGTTAAACCAACCTGGCTGAACAAAAGATGATTGTTGGGATGTATAAGGAGAAGCATATTCCTGAAATTCGTCTACGTGGCCGGGATTTTATTGTGTCCGTCATCATGCAGGCATGCAAAAGGAAGACACGTGCAACAAGACGTCCAGTTAGAACATGCAAATGCAGTAACGCAATTCATTTATAGATAGAACTATTTCCTAATCTTGTTCGACGGAAAGAATTTCTTAAGGAAAGTCAAACAGCCAGCTCAAACAGCATGCTACAATGGACACTATCTTTTCCCGTATGTGATCAAATTCACATAGAAGTTAACGTCCTTGTTCGGCGGTCCGGGGACATTCTGCTGAAGGAAATTCTTCAGGATCTAGTCGTACTCTTACCTCCACTTTATTTATACATCATTGTTATTGAGATGGGTTTGATCTTTTTCTCCTTGAGTAACATTTGGCAGAAAGAAATTTGCTAGCTAGATAAAGAGTTGGTCAAGAGAAGCGCGAAAATCGTTAAACGAAAACACAGGGTAAGACGGAGAGTAGGACCTATGCTTGTCCACAAAGTCACCAGAAATCCATAAAGAAAGTGATGTGCTTACCTTGGTTCTCTCTTTGTTGACCTCCCCCAAAGGCCACTGGTTGACCTCCTCTTCCTTCTTCTTGAGGGCTAGATATTCTCGGTTGTATACCTTCTTGCTGTGCCTGTTTATTTAAAAAGGTATAAATTAACAGACATCCGTTTACTTCAGTGGCCTCTGCATGCTACATTTCGTGAGAGCTTAGGACCTTAATTGCGCAAAACATGTTTCTATAATCCGTCACCATTCGTGATGACTCATCTGTGATATTGTAAAGCTCTCTATGCTTTTTGATGATAAGAGTAAATCTTTCCCATCTCTGCTCTGTAAGCAATGCTAGATGCATTTTTATACCCTAAGAAATATTATGCGAAATTATATGAGGAAGCTTCAAGGTCCTCTTTGTCACATTTACCATAGTCGAGATCATCGCAAGCTCTTTATATCTGTTGTGTCAAAGAAATTGCAACAAGATTCGTGAGAAAACGGCAACCTTTTGGTGTTACTAAAGTACCTATAGAGGCTATTCATAGTACGTAGATGTAAGCATGTGCATTTGTCAACTAAGCAGTCAGTCAGATAAATACACGATGGCAGCTGATTGAACAGCTTTTGCTTTGATTGAATTATTGTAACAACTACAGCAAAACAAGTCCCTCTAGTGCGGCGAAAACAGCTAACAGCATGAAAATGTCTCTTTACCCCCGCAGGAGCTCCGCCAACCACAGAAGCACCTCCATTGCCAATGGAAGCAGAACCACGAGAGGACTGGGACTCTGCCGCGATTGCACGTTGAATCTCGTCCAGCTCATGAGCACTTTCAGAGGCGACCTGGGCCTGAATGCTTTGTTTCTGTGTTAGATATAAGAAGTTATCGCGTGACAGCTAAATTGCTACATCTCTCTTTAAGTATTCTTTGTTAGTACGACTATGCGATACGATTCATATGAATATGTTTAACCTCACTATTTAAGGATTTCTCCACATCCTGACAGAAACAATAAATTTAGGTTCTGTGTGCGAAAAGTGCTTTAGAAAGACGCAGGTTGGCAGAATGGTTGGTTGTAGTTCTTCGCCAGCCCTAGGGATAAAACAAATTAAATTGACAGCATTTTAAAATCTCCATTCCGTACCTCTGCAGCGTCCTGTCTTTGTATATTTGTGGCCCAGTTGACACCTTTTCCCCCATCTTCCCACCCTGCTCCTGCACCTCCTCCACCCCCTCCGCCGCCGTACCCCTCTCCTGTTTCGTATTTCTTTTCCTCTTCAGCTTCCATAGCTAAACGATCCTCTAATCTGGTGTCTTCTTTGTAATCATTGTTATTACCTCCGAGGTCTCCTAGCTCACCCAATCCCATCATTTTGCCTATACCACCTGGCTTTCGGTTCACTTTATGTTCTTTTACTCGCTTAATGTGAGGTCCTTCGTCGATGTCACTTACTGAAAAAGTGTATAGCCATAATAATTTTAGCAATACGATAAACATTACAAGCAGTTAGCATTTCATTAGGTCCTACACATTAAGGAGTAAAAGGCAAAGACCTCACAAAACCTATCAAGAAACCAAACCAAAAGAAGTAGCCTTTTGCGCACTTCCACTTGTGTGTTAACAATGAGGGAAGCAAATTGTCTCAGTTGGAAGTTTGTAAATTATATATACGTACATGTATGTACCTAACTTTGTTTCGTAAATTCCCGATGGCGCCAAGAGGAAAAAATACCATGAGCATAGAAAAACCAAAGTAATGTCAGATTACCCTCGCCTCTCAATTTAAAATCGTCCCAATAACACCTCATCTCAAAACATGAAAGGTACTTCCTTTAGATAAACTAAATAGACATATAAAGCGTGCCTAAAGTCGCATGTTTTCTGGATGTTTGATTTGGCTTGTCGTCTGCAGTCTCATCATTACTTTCATGACTTGGCTCAGCCGACCCTCTGATTCTCTCAACTCTTGATTCGGCCTTATGCCCATGCTTCACTGCATCCTGAGCAGCAAGGCTAGCATCTAACTCAGCTTTTTGCACTGCTTCTTTTACTAAAAATATAAAACATAAGGTTGTTAAAACTTGAAAATCAACGGTGTCTAGTGCGGAGTAATAACATAAAAAAAAACATTACAATGTAACTCTCACACTTGAGGTTTATCTTTCGGGCAGGAAAACGCAAATGGCACATAGGCTTGCCAACAGAAAAACAAACAATGTAAACACCTAATGCAAAGCAGTAAAATTTGGAGGCATTCCACGTCTTATGTACTGTATAGCGTCATTGAATCCCTGGAAGGTGACTATATTTACAACCAAAGCTGTGATGTTGACTTTTTCGTCATAAAGGAAATAAACGGCAACTGTGTGCCACAATAGTGTGTAACTGGAAATGCTCTCTGCATTTGTTTCTTCTCTGGTGATTCAGTGTTTTCCAGACCATGCACGGACAAATCGCATGCATCGTTTGAAAATTCCACTCACCTTTATCCTCCAGATTTACCGACTTTGGAGTCGCCGGATGCGCTAAGAACGAATTAAATGAAAATGTTTGTATTTTGTTGATCTCTGAGAAAACGCTAACCGCTGTTTGGCCTGTTCGAATGAAAACGGTTATCTAAATTAACCAACCCACAAATTCCAGTTTTTTTAAGAAAACGGATTGCTTGTCTTTTCATACGACGGTCAACTTACACTGGTAACCTCAACGAATGGTCCTTTTCCGGACTGGTCTTGGCCTTACCTCTGAAATCTTTAATCAATCTTGCATTTCAAAGACAAACTTATCTAGAAACGTACCTTCCTCTGCTCCAGACTTCACAGTAGAAGTTTCGAGAGGAGCGGAGAAGACTAAAGATAAAAAGATTAATGAGAACAATTTGACAAGAACTCACATGGACAAAATACACTTGCTTTGATAATTGAAACCTTGCCCACAAATAGCCAACAAGCAAGCAAACAAACAAGCAAACAAACAAACCGACAACCAAACAAGCTGGAGAAACCAACGGAAGAATAAAGTAAACAAATCAGTTTAAGAGAAATTAACGTGCTTCTGTATATTTATAACATGTACCAGTTGGAAAATGTTTTTTCCACCCTAATTTTTGAGCGAAAAGTTTAGCTCTATTGCCACCAAAGTCGCCCAATTCAAGGTACCTGTACCAAGGCGATCGGTAGAAATAAATCTTAGTTTGTACAGTAATTGACTGTTCAATCGACAGCTTTGCATGCCGATAAAGCTACTAATCAGTTAAATCGTACAGTTCAACATTTTAAAAGATAGAGGTATACTAGCTAATGTTTAAACTGTGATGCTAGTCTTTTGCTTCCGAATTAGGAAATCAAAAATAAGGTCCATGAGCCACTATTTTATTTTGCTGGTGTAATCTACAAAAAAATATCTGTAGGAAGAAAAATATCTTGGAGCCTTCAATCTGTTTTGTTTTTTGTTTTTTGTTTTTTGAATTTTGTCGTGAGTAAGTAAAGCCACCGCGAATCAAGAAAGACAATAGTAGTCCTTGAGTAAAAAACACAATGTAACACCTGTTTCACTCTCAATTAACTTTTTGGGTGCAATTTATGATTGCTACTAACACTGGTCAATGGACATCTGACCCATATATGCAGGTTTCCCGTGGAAGTGGTGCAATGACATTTGCACCTCTTTACGATATACATTTACGAGCAAAACTTTGAGGTTCATTTTACTTTCAAACACGTCTGAATCATTGCATTATTACATAAAATAACTGATACTCAGGTGGATGTTGGAAATTTGCATTCTATCCCGTCGACGTACGCCATGTTGGCTCAGTCGAGTCGAAGAATAACAATTTTATTTTAAAAATGGGCAAATAAAATTATTTTTAAAAGTGTGAAACGGGTTCACAATATAATCGGTTTAAAAGCTTTTGAATTACTGATAAAATCTTCAGTACACGTTACTAAGTTCTGAGATGGTCAACAGGAAGTCAAATCACAACTCAAATGATGTCGAATGGATAGATTAGGAAAACTGCTACTTCAACGTTGCTTTCCTAAAATGCAAATGAAATTTTCTGTAAGAGATAAACAAAAACAAATTACAGAAGACACATATGGGCCATGGAAGACACATCAAACCTGTTGAGACCTGGCGCACAGCAGGAAGGAAAAGGAACATGTCTTAAACAAATCTGCCATTATGCCAATATACTGTTAGCCAAACGATGTTGAATATCGACTATCGTTGAACTCACCTGTGTGCGACAAACATAATGTAAGGCACGTTAGAAGAAGTCTGTTGTTCATTCCACAGCCTTTCCTTGTTCGATATTGTTTATTTATCCCAAATTTGTACCTGCTAGGCAAACGACAGAAGTTTATCACCAAAGGTTATGAATCTGTTGCGAAGTAGTGGATGATTTTACTCAAGAGCATTTACCAATTTGAAGTGAAAACAAACGGCATCGGCGAAAAGCCTATAATACTTCCTAAATCTTGGATTTTTAAGAGAAATTTACTCTGTTTTTTCAGTTTCTACACCAAATTGACAAAGAGAAGCAGGTCTTCTTACTTTGTTTGTAATGACCGTTCATTGTTTAAATAATATAGCTTGTTTTCACTGCGAACGACCACAGCGTAATGTTCATAACTAAAAATACATTTGTGTGGTCAAAACGTCAATAAAATAGGGACTTACCGTTCAAAAAATAAAAATCCAAATCAAAGGGGGCCTGTAAACTTTTCCTATTTGGTCATTTCCGATAAATGACGTCATAAGAACCCAGAAAGTCTTTAAACTTAAGCAAGATTAAATATTTACCACTCTGCACCTTATTGAGTTTACAAAATATCAGCTCTATAGCTTGAGAATAGCAAAACATCGATGGCAACTGTGTTATCAAAATCAATAGAAATTAAGGTGATAATTGTTAAAATTACTTTAATTGCGGTAGTATTTTTGGTTTCTACGCTTTAGCAACACTTTAACTGTGCTCATTGTCTCGTGATTTCTCACCTGCTAGCTTCAAACTTAAAAACCTATGACCATTCTTGCAGATAAACGGCTTCATCAGCTCGCTTCCGAGATGCTCCAATACTTCTGACATGCGAAACAAGGATTGCTTAAGGAGATTACAGGTGCGGTAATCGACGAGTGTGATTTAAACAGAAGAAGAAATTGGTTGCCTTTGTTTTCACTGTGCCGACCATGGACATCTGAACAGCATGTACACTACCCATCATTTGGATTAATTGTAATCTACTTCCACTGGATTCATTGATAGCTCAGATATTGGAGTGTTGAGTGTTTGCACAATCTCCTGTGCAGTTCTCCTCAATCCTCGAAATAAAACGTCTTGGTCACATGGCCATGTGTCAGAAATGTGACAGATGAAAAATTGCGCGTGTTCAATTTTCAGGAGAAACTTTTCTCAAATTTAAAACTTCAAATATACGTGTAGAAAAAGATCGCCATTCTGAGATAGATCTCTTTTCCCTAACCAATCAACTTAAAAAACTGACCTCACCTTACTTGTTGCAAGGTAAACGCCCGATAAAGATCTTTATCGTTTAAGCATCGGTTTTTTTAAGTTTACTTTCAGCGACTGTGGCTATTTGCCTCAACCCCTCGACCCATATTAAACTACAAGCTTTATCTTTTCATCATTTGTAAAGTTCAACATAAACAAAAACGTGATCTGGGTCAGTGACTCAAGGCGACGACTTGAATTTAAAAAAAAATCAACATTTAGCGAGGAAGTCACATCAGCCTTGGCTGGTTTTCTTCTGGGTCCTCTATCCTGGTTGAATTGGAATTTGGATGTTATAGTGGGTATCGTATAGTACTTCAACATAATATTACTGGACTTGATGCCATTTAAAGGTAAGGAGAACCGTATGGTCGTTCCCAACAATATTTGCTACCTAAATTACTAGAGTTAATTACCAGCAATATAATTAAAAACATAAACAAGTTTTAAGTCAAATCGGCACAATATCCAGCGATGGCGTTAGCAAGTCAATACAATTAGGCTTCTCCTTACGGCCACCTCCATAAGGGCTCGTAACATGCCGGTGGAGAGCGTTATTACCGAAATAAGGTTTTTCGTTGCCAAAAAGACGGGTCTCTTCCCTATTTTACGTTAGGGGGTGTGAAAGGGTAAAAGCAATTAGCCTGTACAACCCGTCATAACAGTTGTATAATTTGGGCAATAGGTGAACGTAGTGCGTAACTCCCGCTAAATCATATTGTCTGACAGAACGTTCTAACGCTGACTGTTTTGAGTAATTATGATTACACAAGACAAAAAAAAAAAGTTTTTTTAAGCTCACGTCTGTTGGTTCAAGTGAATGATTATTGCTTTTACAAAATCAATGAGCATCGCTTTCGCATTCAGACGTCTTATCACTTTACCGATGGAGAAAACACTTTAGATCATATAACTTTAAGAAGAAGTATATTTATTATGGACAAAACATATTAATTTTATCCCAAAAAGGCATCAAAGAAGCTTGGATTATACAGATGAAGCAAATATAGGTGAACTATAGGAAATGCATATGGGAAATACATGTTCAGGCACAAAACATATGTCAGCAGGAAAAATTGAAACGTTTTGGGTTGGAACGCAAGGGAGTTGTTAGGGGAGCTGGGGATTGGTGCTTATATATATGAATAATGACAACAGGTTGAAGCAGGTATGACTGTAAGGTGTACCATAATAGAAACCAGGGTTCATACGCCCCCAATTGATAGCAAGTCAAATGGAAAAACGAGGGCCAAACCTAGACAGAACGACTTGCATCTTAGTTTGAGCTAAACAAGAACCAGTTAAGGGCAATAAAGCTCAAAAGTAACCAGAACAAAGAGAGAAAATCAGCAAGTGGCTTGTGGTGGTGGCAAAACATTACGTCATATAAACTACGGGGTCTAAAAGTAGCCGGTATGTCGCAAAACGTAAAGGAAAGCATGACAGTGTTTGGGATTACGGTTATGTATTGAAAGCGACTACACTTCGATTAGACGAAGGAAAACGTTTTGGTAAGTGGAAGTACTTCTTTATGTCGTGTAACTGACATCATTTTTTGGTGGCAGGTAATTTGAATAAGTATCCGTTTTCACTCTACTTACTTCAATCGGTTCAATTTAATTCAAAACTATCAATGCGTGATAGTTTCCGACCCATGAAGATTTGTTGTCGAGCACTAGCCAATGTTACAGTAGAGAAAAGGTTTTGGACAACGGTTTTACAAGTTTAAACACACGTATTTCGTTTCTTCATTTGATACTGGTTGTTATGTAAAGCTGATTTACTTTCGATTTAGGGTACAAAGATTGAGTTGCACGCCATGTTTACAAGGGAATGAAGTGGGTGGTCGTCACAGCAGTTATAGCTTGTCTGGAGGTGGTCGCCGCGGGTAAGATGAACGTACAATCAAGGCTAAACGCCTCATTGATCTTCTTTGTTCAAATGGACTTCCTAATCACAAGATTTTCGACGGGTGCTAAATCATGATAAAAATTCTTTTTAGAGAAGGACTAGCTACTTTATGGCGAGTTTCTTGCTTAGTCATACAAATTTTTGAACAATTTCTGCCCCAATGCTAGTATTCATTAAGTTGTTATCACGTAACAAAGTGAAAGTAGCGATTGACCACTGCAGGGGGTAGTGATAACTGGATCTAAAGTCTACCACAAGCACACCCGTTGTAGCTTACAAGGTAACAAAATGTTTAGCCTGCGAAAAGAATCCCGGTTGGGTTTAGTGCGAGCTAGCCGAGTGTGGTCTATGGGGAACGGGGCTAGCCGAGAGCAGTCTGGTGACGAGGTGGAGCGCATTTTCCTCTACTCGCTTCGCGGAATTCTTTATTTCTCGCTAAACGGCTCACTTCGGTCGCCGGATTTTTGTTCCGCCTTCGCCGGGAGCCTGTTTGCAGGCTACAAAATGTTCTTATGCTGTTGCCAGCTTGTATGGCCCTTCATTTTACACATCGTGGGCACAAAGGATTATATAAATACTTACATAGCAAAGAGAAATAATTTTCATCGAATGTCCATCCTCTCTTACGACTTGTGAAGTTTGTGTGACTGTCGAGATAACCTTAGCTGCCTTAGTTAACCAACGTTACATTTTTAGAAACCTAGCGTATTTTATATTTTTTTATTGGGTGTACCGTCATAATGTTTGGAAATAAGTAAAAAAAACAAGACACATAATTATTTTTAGGTTCCAGTAGAAGAGCACAAAAACGCGAGATAAAAATCGACAGACAAAGACCGTGGGAATACGGTAAGTAGATAATCAACAGTAGCTACTGCCATCATCTCTAATTCTTAGAAAGTTGGACGCATATTCCAAAATTGTATTATGGCAGAATTTGTGAGGGTAAGATCGAACGTCAACTTGTATGTTGAGCAATATTTCAAATTATACCGATCAACCAAGTGCCCAGTAAATTTGACAGCATACACGAAGTAATTCCATTCTGGATATCAAGAAGTTGCAATTTAAAGTGTGTCGGCCAGGGCTCAAGAATTTAGAAAAGTGAAACCTCTTAGCCTCCTGGTTGTTTGATCAAGCAAAACATACCCAAGAACTGTCTCATTCAATGAATTGCACTTGAAGAGGAACTTCGGTTGTAAAATGATCTTAAAAAGGTCCAGATTCAAGACTGAGTTGACGTTATGCTTTGTAGTGATTATACCATATACGAGTATCTTTTGTGAGCGTTTATTTCAAACGTAGAAAGCGCCAATTTTTCAGTTTTATAATTTAACAACCCCATATGATCAATTTTGTTACAGCTTGGCTAAAATATCTTCTGGGAGACCCTAAAGGAAATCGTAAGTAAAACTTGAAACTCCAGCTTCCCGGTAACTGTTATTTACAAGTTTATTGACTAGAAGCCAAAGATCAATATTGGTTTAGTTAAATGCAATCTACAAGTATAAAGGTTGATTCTGGTACAAAGTCATTTCGTGAGACACACTTTTGAGCAGGATTTTACTTGTAACTCAGGGGCGTAGCAACCATAAACGCAAGTACGCACTCGCGTATACCTCCAGAATTCCAGAAAAATATATGTATTCATTGACGAAAAGCGTCTTTAATAATGAAATCTGTTGGTTTGACAGTCTCTAGTCTCCTGTTAAATCCAATATCAGTTATCCTAAAGGTTTACTCATAAACAACATAAGTCACTAAATACTCAACGTTCTTCAATGCATTGATTTATGAAACTGTTCACTGGAAAGCATGCGAAATGGCTTTAAAGATATCCTGAAGAAAACATTTCTTGGAGGGCATTCCCCCAAACCCTGTTAGGTGCGTGTTCCCCAAAGGAAAATGCACACTACGCCTTTGGAACTAAGGCCATTATATAACTGGAAGGTGCCTATTAATTGCGTGACATCCTTATTTGCAGCAAACACAGCAAAGGCCGTAATAGGGGAAAAGAGAACGACAAGATTGCATCGATTATGTTCAGGAAAAATTCAGTTACGCGATAAATGGACGAAAGATAATTCAATTTATGACAAAATCATATGCGGGATGTTTACAAGAAAAGACGAGTACAAGAAACACGAGGAGCACGTGGCAAGACTCTTATTGGGACAAACAGAGAAAAAGAGTTTAGACGAACAAAAGGATGAACTGATTAGAGCTGTCAATCGAATGGTGCACGCTGCTGGTCCTCTTCCTATTCTGAAGTTTAAAGGCGGATGATTGTGAATACGTTACTAATGATCACGTTGTTATAGAGGTTGTATATTCGTAGAATTGTTCAATTTTTAGTATTTTGTGAGCCAAAATGATATCATTTTAACACTGCTGATTTTTGTGGCATTACATCTTTATCCGGCCCGTCAGGCATCGTATAACAATTGCAACACAACATCCAGACATTTGATAATTCTACTATGAAGGCCACCAATAAATACAAAAGTGATATTTCGTCAACTTTGAAATTAGTCGATTGTAGGAAATGAACGTGTAAAACAAGAATATGATATTTTTTTTAAAAAATGCAGAAAAAGCAAATTAACTTGTTTCTAGAAATGAGTGTCCTTCCACGAAGAGTGAAAAGCAGGTAAATTAATGGTTCCATTCATTTTATTTAACTAGTGCTTGGTGGATCCACAGCTATTTCACTATGCTGTGATAACTTGTCTTCCGATTACAAGAAGGGGTGCAAATATATGACGAGGGTCTGAATGGGGTGTGCAAATGTCAGTTGTCAGTTAAAATGCGCCTATTTGTTAGTTATATTTTGGGCCATTTGTCAGTTGTCATTTATGTGGCTGTTAATAATCTACTCAAGGTCTTTTAAAAATGGCTTTAACCTTTCCTAGTTGACCCCTTGCATAGAGGATACAGTCGAAACTCTCCAAAACGGCCACCTTGGGGACAATAGAGAGTTGGGACGCGTTTAAAGGGCTGTTGTCTTTATGGAGATGTGGCTGTTGTAGAGAGGTTAAATTAAGAGCGAATGTAAGGACCGTTTGTGACGATTCAACTGAAAGCATATAATTAAATGCAAAACCCTTAATGATTTTTTCCTTTACCCACCCCGTACCGCTTCGCATTGCGAATTTAAAGACCCAGTATTGACCATTAGGCTTTTCGCGCGTCTGTAATTGTTGTGGCGTACATGGTAGAGAGGTCTCTATTGTTTTCTGCAATGCTCACAGCGCGCAATGCATTCTGACTAAATCTGGGTCTTTAATCTCCCCCGTTTTTTGTTTCGCATGCGCGCTCGACATTCTTACGAGAAAGTAAAAGAGCTTTGAACAAACAGACTATGAAACTGTAGTTTCCTGGTGTTGCGGATAGTAAAACAAAAGACTTAAAAGACAGCAATGCAACCTGACTCAAACCAAAACGCAATAGCTAAATATAATTTTTCACGTTGTTATTGTAAGATAGTTTTGTGCTGGTATGTAGATTCGTTGGTATGCAGGTTATGTAATTATGCTAAGAAATTAATATTTAAGGAGTCTCTCCGTTAGGAGTTGTCACTTCGACGGCATCTCCGCTTTTGATCAGTTCATTTTGGAAATTTTGTTTTAGTGAATTTCCGTGTTTTGTCTACTACGTTTATTGTGTTAATAACTACCCTAGGGCAATTTATGTCTGATCAATAAACGAGATGCCCCCTCCTATATGACTGATGTTTTCTTAC